CAGAAATTCATTCATTAACCAGAGTTATTTCATATTAATCTTTCTGTTCCTTTCTTTTCATTATTTAGTAGATATTTATTTAAAAAAATACTATTAATACTTTTAATTATTTTAACTATTTTAAAATATTTATCAAGGATTGATATTATGTGTCTATATACTTGAAATAAAAATAACTCATTGACTGACAGTTGCAGTAGTAATCTAGATTTCTCTTGAAATCACGTGCATATTTGCTTTTTCTGGCCAAGGTGATCTGCAACTCTGATTTAGCTTCCGCCGAGACATCAGGGGTGCGGTAGGTGTTTATTTGAGATATACACACATTAGACTTATAAGAGAATATATAAAAAATATTGTGCAACATTTTACAAATAACTCATGTCTTATCTTGTATAATGTATAACGTACGGATATACGGATGGGCAGTGTCAAGGTCTAATCTCTTGGATCGATCCAAAATTTACGATACCAATTAGATAATTTCTAAAGCAAATATAATGCCAAGATGTTTATCAAAAGTTAACGGAAAATTTAAAATAATCCCTTCTCAATATTTACCTTATAGCTTAAATATGTACAGCACAAAAAATAATATAGATTGATTTCTGTCCATTTGTATTTGCTTGTTTTATGTGTGTGTGTGTGTGTGTGTGTGTGTGTGTGTGTGTGTGTGTGTGTGTGTGTGTGTCTGTGTGTGTGTGTCTGTGTGTGTGTGCGCGCGCGCGCGCGGCGCGCGAGGGGAGAGAGAGAGAGAGAGAGAATACAAATATTTTTAATTTTTTGCCGAATTTCAATGATGGATATAAGAAATGCAGGATATAAAAAATGCATTTAACTTCAAAGTCACGTAATTCGATCAAAAAAAATCATAAAAAATTAAAAAAAAATTTTATATGTAAAACTGCACTTTTTTGTAAATATATTAAAATTAAAAAAATAATTTTTTTACTGCACTGCAAACTGTTAGTAATTTTGAATAATATAATAGGATGATTTTTGTTAAGATACAGAATTGTAAAAATTTAAAAAAAGAAACGATTAAAAGTAAAATATAAATGCTTTAAAATGTTTTTTATCTTTAAAATGCCTTTTTATCTTTGAAAATACGTTTTTATCTTTTGTCCACGACAAAAAGGTTTTTTTGACCGGTTTATGTTACAATGATCCGAAAATTTTGCAGTTTTGCGCATTATGAAAATATTTCCTATTTTTTGTTAAATAATATATATATGTATATAT